TTCATACTGGCCCCCCGTGGGAAACGAACCCACAACCTTGGTGTTGCAAGCGCCATGTTCTACCAACTGAGCTACAGGAGGCCCTAGGCCTAGTTACAGTTTCGACTTAAATCAGCTTGAAAATCTATGGCAAGACTTAACAATGGCTGTCTAGCAATGATCAACAATCAACTTGACAGAGCTTGAAGAATTTTTTTAAATAATAAGGGGCATATCCAGGTTTGCAAAGCTCTTAGAGACTTACCCAAAAACACTCACAGCTGTAATAGCCACCAAAGGTGTGTTTACAAAGAATTGACTCAGGGGTGTGAATACTTATGTAAATTAGATATTTCTGTATTTCATTTACAATAATTTTGCTAAAATGTCTAAAAACATATTTTCACACCCCTGACCCATAACTGTCATTATGAGTTATTGTGTGTAGATGGGTGAGAAGAATTCAGGCTGAAACTGTATGAAGGCACTGTATGTCCCCAGTAGGTCAGGTTCAGATTGATGAATGTGTTGGACTCAGAAATGTTGCACTATCTACAGTATGACATAGTAGCTGTCCAAGGAAGAAGTATAATTCGCAGGTTTGACATGGCACTCAATGCATAAGTTTATGACACCATTTGTAGAACTGGGCTACTTTCACTGACATATTTAGTGGTTCATGTCCAGTAATATGTTCAGATTCATAGGCTACCTGTTTCTGATGCCAGCCCATGCTGGATGTTTAGCTGTCCAGCTACATCTGGAAATAAGGCATAATAGCCAACACCATTGGAGCTTAGCGAATGTCTATCCCTGACTCAGTGATACGGTTGACTCCAATCACTTGTTTGATGGATTTTCCTGATCACAGAGAGGTTGGGGCAGTGAAAGCCTTCTCCCTAGAGGGGGGGGAGGCCGGCCTTGTAATGGTTCTCTAGGAGGGGGTGGGCTGGTTGCTCTGCTTGAGTTTGATCCTAAAACACAGGTGCAGTGTAATTCCCCCTCAGTCTCTGAATCTGATCCATCCTTTACCTTCCCGTTTCTAAATTTGGCCATATCCAAACTAGTTTTCATTATCTAATGTATAGTCATGTTGGATTTGGACCCAAGCTCTAGTCTTGCTGTACTACCATACTTGCTGTTTCTCTTTCAATCTCAGTGAAGTGAATGGTAGGCTATTTTGACATAAATGTGAAATACTGTCTAACGTAGCCTACTATAACAGAGTATGCATCATTATTAGTATTACCATTTGATAACATAGTGGTTATAGTGTTGTTATTATAGTGTAAAACAGAGTGGTGGGAGGTACGAAATGTGAAGGAGGAGCATGAATCTTAGTTATTGTGGTTTATTAAAATTAGTTGCAGTAGCTTGTGCGTAATGTCTGGAGAATAAATCCCCTGTCTAAACATTCACAAATTGCCTGAAACGGCGCGAGGTGTCGGGGGACTGAAGAGGGGTCCCAACGGCGTCATGTAGAGCTGATCATTGTCTCTCACACTTTCTAAGTATCCATTACACAACAGTGAGCGAGGAAAGGAGTCGGGCCAGAGATATCAGCAGTCCATGTGAAGCAGCAGCGGTGCCCAGAGGGCTCTTCCTCTCAACGTCAACGATAACCAACTAAACTGAGTGCAGGAATACAAGCGTAAAGATGAGAACTTCTGTTCATTATATGAGTATTTTATGAGACGTGAACGTTTATATCGGGTGAATGTTTAGTGAACGGAATGAGGAAGAATAGTTTCGAAGTGTATGAGAATCAATGAGTTGACCGGGTGCTTTATCTCAACGCGAATTATTGTGTGCAAAAAAATCACTTTGATTTCACACTCCTTATTTGAGACACCATCGAAGAAACAATGAATGGAGGTCGGCATTTTCCACCAATTTAAACAACGGTATATGCGCTACATTTTTATTACTTTGCGGCACAACACCTATTTTGGGTGGAATTTCGGAGTCGGGCTTCTTCTTCTCGCCTTTGCGCTTTCCTCCTGTTCAGCAGATTAATTTGGAGGGATCCATGCAGTCGCGAAGGTTGGTATTGGCCATTTCTCAATAGCGGACAATTCGAGTATTTACAGAGAGATATTCCAGGCTAAAATCCAATTTTATAATTTCGTGGAGGCTTCTCATAATATTTGTCAATAGGTCATTTTCTTTTTCTTTTTTCTTCATTTTTTTTGTCAGTGGACTACAGGAGACTACTTCTATTGTCAAGCGTAATGGTAATCCACATTGTGTGTTGATTACCCTTATAATACATTTGCACTACTTTGTGTACTATAGACAATTTCTTTACATTTTTGTGGCAAAAAAACAGCAATAGCCTACATAGTAGGCCTACAGACTACAAAAGTGAACTTGCAATACAAGTTGTCCAGCTGTAATAACATGTTTTAAATGTTATTAGGCCTATAAGTATGACAATTTGTTGAATAGGGTATGGCATTGCAATACAAATAGGCTACTTGTATAGCCTAAGGTCTATGGGTTATTGTAAATTCAAAATTGTCTTAATATGATTCTATTAGACAATATCGTTGGCTTCTCTTTCACATTGCTAAAATCAAACCATTTACGCATGCATTATTCAGAAAAGAATGGAATTGGAAGCCTATCAGAAAACTTCCAATGGAGCGCCTATCATATTTGTGTTATGAATAAATAAAAAAAGAGAACATGGGCTTCATTATTCGCTGTGATAGAAAGGAAATGGGGTGGTAGGCCTATCAGGATTCAATGTTGATGACTGACTGACAGTTGTGGGTTACAGTTGCGCTAAACCGCCAAATAATAGACCTGTGCACAAATGTAATGACAGATCAACTTGTCCCCGCACTCATAATGCCATGTGCGTTTGTCATGATGTGAGGTTTGATATCTAGAGTTAATACAGGCGCCATCTGTTGGAAAGTGTGAAGTATCTTCACCCGGTGTCGTATAAGCCAGATCATACAGTATGTGTCTATGGGCCAGATGCATTATTAGTGTAGGCCTATCTCCCCAAAATATATAATGAAAACAACTGGAACACTGTAGTAATTTTATGAATTTAAATAGACATGTAGGTCTAGGTATTTTAAGCCTAAGGATAGGCCCTACGTTTATATTTCAAGGTCAGTGATGACTAAAATGAAATCAAAAATCATTTTGGCCAATGAGACATCCATTTGTCCTATGGGCTGATTTAGCTTGGGGTGAATTTGGCACTACAGGAGGCATTACATGGGGGCTTTATACTGTAGGTCCCAATTGACTTGTGATATTGTAGGCCTACAGTGAGATGTGATTGAATGTTCTACAAGTCTAGGCTACATGTCAGTTAGCACACTACAAGTCTAGGCTACATGTCAGTTAGCACACTACAAGTCTAGGCTACATGTCAGTTACCATACATTCTTAAGTAATGCAAAACACCTCCCAGTCCTTACAGAACATAAGTGAGTATGTTAAGAAATAAAGCACTATCAATGTAATACCACTCAAGTGGCCCAACCAAATGCCTAAACACATCCATGTAGTTTCAACAAACTATGCCGTTTAATCTGGTTTAATAATCATATTAACTTATAGCCATTGCCCATGTTCTATCTCTTTCCAGACAAATAGTTAGTCTGGATGGTATTTGGGGTTTTCCAGTAGGCTAATGTCCCCAGGGTTTTTCATCAACCCCAATAGACTAGTAAAAAAAAAAAAAATCTTAATGAACATCTGCTTACTTGTTTCTCAATTTTGTGCTACTGGCTGGCATACATTTTCTTTCAATTGTGATTTCATAAAGATGTTATGTATCATGTTACTAAAAGGTCAGTGCAAAGCATCAATGTTTGCTCCAATTTAAACCACAATAGCCTTCTATGTGTTTGGATCATCTGGATGATCAAATACCAACTATTGTGTTATGGAGGTTTCATTGAGAGTGCACCAACCAGCGTAAGATATCTTACTAGCCATTTGACACAGCTAAAAGAACACGTTTTGCTTGAGTACCTTTTTTGAGGAGAAATGCTATTATCCTTTTTTGCTGTTTATCTCTATAATTTGTAATTAAATTTCAATTCTCCACAGATTGTCATGAATAACATTTGACCATAATTATGTGTAGAAGTCATTCATTTTTGTAGGGAGTTAGTTTATTTCATCTAAAGGTGTTAAAACAGGTTGCTGATGCAAACCCTAATTGTTTGCAATGACCTCCCAACTCAATATTAGGAAGGTGTTCCTAATGTTTGGTATACGCAGCGTATAATCAGTCATGTTATCAGAGATTATGAGTCTGTTAAAGAATTGTCACAAAGACATAAAACAATATGAGTCAATAATACAGTATTAGCCTAAAGGGCGTATAGGCTACATGCTTATAAGTGGTAACTTTTGACATAGCCTATTTAACATTGTCAGGTGTCAGCCATGTGTCATTTTGTGTATTTTGTACTACTTTTAGCATGGTTAGCAAGGTTAATATGTTTCATAATGGACTATAGGCTAAGTCAAGGCACAAGAGAAGTGAGATTCACCCATGCAGGCTTACCTGCCCCAACATAATTTACGCAACATAGAAATAGTATTATTTAGGTTAGCATGTTATGCAGCAGCAAAGCAAAACACTTTTGTTCCCATCAAACTATTGAGGCCCAACGTGACTTATGCTATAACGAACAAGTCCACACATTGAGGTGTAATTTGACACTCAGGAGGGGCCGAAGGCTTTAACAACGGTTCCTCATTGGTCCAGTCAGTAGTGTAGACTGCACCTTCTTGACACTCCCTAAAAGGAAGATCGATTGCCAGTTTTTACTGTTTGTTGAGGAATTCGAGTGCATTGAATAGGCTCCTAGAAAGAGGGCGAAAGTTACTTCGAGATTTCGAACCAAGTACTTGATCGAGGACATGACTGCATTACGTGACTTCAGATCTCATATAGCCTACTGCTCCGGGTTATTCAACAAGATAGACGATACGAATATCTCCTAATTCATTTTTCTTTCACTTTCTTGATTTGATTCGACCAGAGAGAGGAGAGAAGTGCGACCCCGTGCTGGATGGATGGTTATGGGGAAGGGAGCAGCAGGACCTTCGGCGCTTGAAGTCGGCAAGATCCTTGTTTTTTTTCTTTGCCTGTTTCCTTCTGGTAAGACTTTGCAGTAGTTAGAGATACTAATTAAATCATGCGTCTGTTAACTGTATTAATATGATTATTATCTAGTTATTACAACCATTGTTTTGCATTATGCTAGCCCAGTTCCACGATGATGGCAACACTGAAAATTATATATTGTTGCATTGAAATAACATTAATAGATTTCACATTCAAACATCCTTATTACAGGAACCATTTTTTTTCACACTAAACTTTTTCAAGTTTTGCAGCGCACATAGCCTGAACAACCTGCCAGATGGATGTATAGGCATATACCTACATTATTTGTTAAACAAGACAAGTAGTTGAGTTTATCAACAAAATGGAAGACTGACTTTATAAGTTGCATGTCAACACTGGTAAAACATACAATGTCAGAGACATGTGGAATCGACTGTGTCGGTACGTACAGCCAATGCTTTGGCGTTTATTGTGCTCCATGTTGTGGTGTATTCGTAATTTTAAAAAATCGTTACATCGGACTTTTTTGTTTCTATTGAATCATTTTACACAGCTCAAGCCTATGCTACTCAAGCGGTAGAACCCCGTAGTTGTGTTATGTTTGGGGGGAGGGGGATAGGGTTTACGGATTTTATCCTCCTTTTCTAAAGTAACCTACGGGTACTTGCCTTTTTCTTTTTCTGCACTTATTGCATCGGTTTAAAAAAAGTTATAAAGAAAAAGTTCGGGGAATCCCTGAATCCCATGCACATAGATTTTCTCCATCCGTTTATCTTATTTTTGGTTGGATGAACAATAAGCAATTCGTAACCATGCTTAGGTTATTTATTAAAACTCCTTGAGCCCCTTCTTCCTTTTAATGAGATGCACAAAAAGCCTATCTCCATGGCCTCGTAGAACTCAATTTGCACATTTACCGATCTTTATCTGTTTCTGTTTCAAGTCATTTACCGCCAAACAAAAAAGTGATAATGCAAGTGTTAGTTGTTGTTGACGTTTATTCAAGATTAAGATTAGTTTATTGCCACTTATCAGATTTGTGATAATAAATTCGTTTTGTTGCTGGGACTGGGAGGAGGGAGTGGTGTGTGCTGTTTGGGGTTGGAATAGTTGTGGTGGAATGATAGAGTCATAAGTATTAACTGGTTAAATAAAGGTTAAATAAATAAAAAATAAACTGAAAGTGTTTTATGGTCATTGGTCAATAAGTTCTGAGGGAACGTTTGGTGGAGCAAAGTTACATGTAGACTCGTCCTAAACTGAAGTTTGTTTATTAGGGTGAAGTTAGTAGCTAGGAGCTTTTGAATTATTACATGTGCTCTTTCCTATACCCCCCACCACCATCCCCATACCATGCCACCCAAAGCAACTTAAATGTCAGGTCATGTAATTTAAGTCCTGGTGAATGCTTGTTGGAAGTTGCATTACTCTTTGATTAGGGCCTTCTGCAATGGACAGGTGGATATCTTATATCCAGTTTGACCTGTGGAATGGTGAGGCCTCTCTTCTGTTCCGCTCTCTGGTTCTGGAGCTAGTTTCTCTCCTGTTGGAGATATTTGGTGGAATTTTGATTTTCGTTACACTTGAAGTAAAAGTTATTTAATGGAAATAAATGCTCAATTTGTCTCGAGACACTGAAAAAACATGGAAAAAAATCAAAGAATGCTGCAGGGCTTTTTTGGATTATAGGAGTCGAAAGACAAGCCATTGCATAGGTTATTGTTTAAGGGTTTTAAACACACAGATAAGACTGTATAACACTTGCTTTCCTTTTGTTTCTTTAGTACATTAGTTGTTCAACACAATGTTTAGTGATTGGATGAACAGTCCATTGTGGGTATTGGTTTGCCATTGTTGTGTGAACTATGGTCCTAATGTTTTCTTCTCCTCTCTACAGTGAGTCTGCAGTGTAAGATCCTCAAGTGTAACTCAGAGTTTTGGGCCTCCACCTCAAGCTCTGGCCCAGAGGAGGAGTTCTGTACGGCACTGCGGGCGTACAACAACTGTGTACGCCGCACCGCACGCACTTGCAGAGGCGACCTGGCCTACCACTCAGCCCAACATGGCATAGAGGACCTCATGAGCCAACACAACTGCTCCAAGGAGGGGCCTACAACCCAGCCTCGAGCCGGGACCCCCGCTCCACCCCCACCACCACAGCTCCAGCCTGACAGCCAGGAGCGCTCTGATGGGCCGGAGCAGTGTCACTACGAACGCAGCCTTCCTCGCCATTCCTCGCCACCCAACTACACCCACTGCGGCTTCTTTGGAGACCCGCACCTCCGTACCTTCAGCGATGACTTCCAGACCTGCAAGGTGGAGGGAGCCTGGCCGCTTATCCATAACAAATACCTGTCTGTTCAGGTGACCAACACACCTGTCGTGCCTGGCTCCTCTGCTACGGCCACCAGCAAGGTGAGAGGAGCCTCTACATCTCTCTATCATATTGAATCAATGTCATATTGACTGTATGTTGGGTACAGCACAGTTACAGAGTGTCTGGTGATGCTTGACATTGCTACTGATCAAGTATTATGTGATTATTTCATTGCCACAGACTGAATCCTTGAAAAACGACTCTCTTGAAGTAATATTTTACAACTTTCCTTATCATAGAAATACCAACAGACCTTGCAAAACGTCTGATAGCACCGGTCTTCTCACCGCTGCAGAGGAGTGTAGACATGCACTATCTAAGTAGAGAACAAAAAGATACAGGTAACTGCCAAAATAATGGAAACACTTGAGTAAAGGAGGGATACAAAGTATATTGAAAGCAGGTGCTTCAACACAGGTGTGGTTCCTGAGTTAATTAAGCAATTAACATCCCATCATGCTTAGGGTCATGTATATAAATGCTGGGCAGGCAGGCCATTATTTTGGCTACCATGGCCATTTTAGGAAAGGGAACGTTTTGCTGTTTCTCCTGAGCAAGGCTGCTACTCCTCTATTTTTCCATTTACTTACTAAAGAAAGCCCTTTCAGGGAATGGGAGAGAATATTTCTGCCTGCTTGTTTGAAACAGTGAATGGAATGTTATTGGACAAATTGTACTGTAGTGATTTATTTGTAAGAGCTCTCAAATCAAGAAATATTATGATAAGTAAGACCTTCGTATGTAAGAGGTTGTGGGCCTCTTTAATGTGGTCAGAGAAGTAGGAGCAGCCGTGGGAATGTTTCACTGTGGACTCTGGTTAATGTTTGGATCAGTTCCATCGCAGACCAATAGGCAATACACAGAACAATTGTTGGGATCATGATAAGGTTTACAAATGATATGCCAGTATTATACTCGCAGTATAAACATCATGTGGACAGCCAAGACAAATGTTATGCCCACTTTATGTGTAGCAGTCCATACCGTAGCATTGTGTGTATGTTAGTTAGAAAATGTTGTTTTAACTAAGTGCTCAAGCCATACAAGAAACTGCAGATATTTTCTGCACATTAGTTGGCCCTGATACCTCATAAATTACCATTGTTTTGTTTCTACGGTACATTGGACGGCCTGAGGGCCGCCCCAGAAATGTATTTCACTAGAACATAAGGTGAAAACAAAGAACCCTGAGCATTTGTAGTCTGCAAAATCACGTAATATTAGGTCCACATTTGGTACGATTTTGGCAGTCGTGGTTGTGTGACCAATAGGCCTTCGTGCACTGTATCCTGACTGCAGGGTTTACACTGACATTTTGTCGTCAATCACGTAAAGAGAGAGACCAATTTTCCATCATCAGACCTAATGATGCACTTTAAGCATTCTGGCTTTTTTTTCTGTGCGCTTAAGGTAATGATATCATTACACAGCTGTACTTGGAAGCAAATTACACCACTTTTGAAGTTATTCAGTCTGGACAAAGGGAAAACAAGGCAGAAGCCTATGCCACCTGTACAAACAAGACTTCCCTGGTATAGATAGACCTGGGCATTGCTGGAGCTCTGCTTCATATGGGCTCCTGCTGCAGTGTATGGAATGGTCTGCTGTATGCACCACCTTCATTCAAGGGATGGGTTGATGAAACAGTTTGTTTCTTTATGCACATGGGGTTTTGTAGAGGTTTTTTCATGTTCTTAGATCAAGTTATCCTTCGAAAAGAGGGGTCAGTGGCAGGTAAAAAACAACTATTTTGGGAATGGGCGATTGCGGGGTGGGAGGATTGAGGGGTGGGTTGGGGGCTGGGTTGGCAGATGACTTGACTGGGTAATAACAGGGCATTTTGGTGCTAAACTTCCCCCTCCCGCCCCTGCCCCCTATTTGAGATCAGAGCCTATCGGCTGTCCCGGGGTCACTTCTGAGACAACGGCTCACTGGCGTCCTAATGAAACCATGCAAGCGGAGAAGTGACCAGCCTTAGTTAATTAGCCACAGAGCAGAGCACGCTCTCCCCTACTGGCTCAGTGCCACTCCCTGGAGCACAGTTCTGGGGTTCACAGGCAGGTTTTTCACCACTATGAATGGCTCTTCTTTGTGTCTACACACTGAGGCCCGATTTAACATGGCCTATACCCGTGTTTTCTGAGAGCGTTTACTTTGGCCTCCCCCATGTTGAGGCAGAGCTGAAATGTGACACTGAACTGGGGTGGTGGGGTAGATGGGTCTGCATTACACAAACTACTGGTGTTCTTAATGCCAAAGCACAAAGATTCCCCTCTGTCATTTGTGTAGCCCTACCACTAACTCTTGTCCACATAAAAATTTAAATATAGAGAATCCATACCGTTTTTTTATTATTCAACTGCTGTTCAATGATTTAATAATTTGATATCTATATGTACCTTGCTATTTTCATCCTCAAAAGGCCTGACACATATTGAAACATATTGGCTATTGTTGTGCTGACTGCTAATTCTAATCTTCTCCTCTCTCTCTCTCTCTCTCTCTCGGTACAGTTGACAATCATCTTCAAGAACTTCCAGGAGTGTGTGGACCAGAAGATGTACCACGCGGAGACAGACGAGCTGCCTGCGGCGTTTGCCGACGGCTCCAAGAATGGTGGAGACCGCCACGGGGCCAACACTCTGCGCATCGTGGAGAAGGTGTCTGGGCAGCATGTGGAGATCCACGCACGCTACATCGGGACAACCATCGTGGTCCGGCAGGTGGGCCGATACCTGACCTTTGCTGTGCGGATGCCAGAGGAAGTAGTGAACTCTGTAGAAGACCGAGACAACCAGGACCTGTACCTTTGCCTGCACGGCTGCCCCGCCAACCAGCGCATCGACTTCAGGACATTCAGGGACCGTGCAGTGGAGGGCCACGGCCCAGGCAAGAGCAGGATGGGCAGCCAGCCCCATGGGTTTACGTATCAGGCTGCCATGGCCAAGTGTAAAGAGCGCCTCCCAGTGGAGGACCTGTACTTCCAGTCTTGTGTGTTCGACCTGTTTTCCTCTGGGGACATCAACTTCACCATGGCTGCCTACTATGCTTTTGAGGACGTGAAAATGCTCCACTCCAACAAGGACAAATACCACATTTTTGAAAAGGATGCATTCGGGAGTAATGCAGCGCCAAGGGGATCAGATTTGTTCTCGCTAGTCCTCCTCAACTGTCTGGCTGTGTTGTTGTGGATTGAGTGCTGCTGGGTTCATCTATAGTCCCCTGCCAACATTATCCTCATTATGCTAGCTGTCAGTGGGTGTGAAACAGTGCTCTCACCGTGTCATACTTCACCTCTACTGCTCTGTTCTCAGTGGCTGGTGGTCAGTCCAGACAGCAGGGCCGTCCATACCTCTGAGGGGACACAGCAGCCCATGTGCAATCAAACTCATCCCAGCCCATGGTCTCATTGTTGTCATCATGTGTTGACTTACATCTGGTGGAGAGATGAGCTCTCTGCTCCCACCTATCATTGCGTTCATTCAGCTGGTTTAAGGACTAGTCCTTTGATTAAAGGAGCAGTGGTGAGAGAGGAGAGCCCAGGAGCCCCAGCACTTTGGATATCCACCTGGGATTAATTCCTACATTCCCACTGGGACTGCATGGGAAGCAAGACGAGATGATCTCTTGCAGAAAGAAGAGTTTGCTGATCGCCTCTCCTCACTGGTGCCAAGCCAGTGGAGCTCTCTGTGGCTCATGGGTCTGGGCTAGAGGACATGACAGGGGCTTTTGTTAACTTCTGTCCAGAAGGAGCTCACTGTTTGATGAGCTTCCAGCTTTGGAAAAGCCTGAGCTTTTTGGAGAAAGCGCTCGGCCAAAAGGATGTCAGAGCAGCGAGTGACAGTCTAGTCTGCTGTGGAGGTTAATAGGTCATAACGCCAGGTCTTTTGTAAGATTGTGTGTGTGTGTGTGGTTGTGCCCCTCTGTGGTTTAGTGTGTCAGCCAGAACGGGCTGTCTTGAATATTGGCGTTTAAAGTGTTAATTATGATAAATGTATTTTTGTATAGGGTGTAATTAAGATGTTAATAAGAAAACAAGCCCTTTACAAACTTTACCAAGGACACACATAATGCAGAAACCCAGATCACGTTTACAGAGTATATCTTATCCCTTCATTCAACCGATCAACCAACCAACATGTACCATGGCCAGGAAATTGATTTCTACAGGTCGTTTGTGAATGATTTGTCACTTTTTCTAGGCAGTCAACAGTTCCCCGCAGATGTAGGTATCATGGCCATGTATTTGGTTTGAGAAAGATATAGTCTTTCTGACCACTCTGTAGAGAGCAGAGAGTAGGTCCTGTATCAGAGGAGGTTGGTGGGAGGAGCCATAGGAGGACGGGCTCATTGTAATGGCTGGAATGGAATAGCTGTCAAATCCAAAAGTGTCGTTATACCTATTGTGGACATTGCCATTGGATGCGCCGAGTCGCATTAGTAGAAATCCTATGCAGCTGTTACAAGTTTGAACACTGGCATGTGTGATGTAATCTACACCTTGATTAGGCTATTCTCATAATTTTTATATAGCCTACACTTTCTCGTTCTGAATATGTAACGCTGGTGGAGGGGTGTGGCTTTGTGACAAAACACCAGCGTATGCAGTGTCGGCTAGCGCGGTTTAATGGTTGATCTGATTTAATCTAGGCCTAAGTATTTGAACTTTTGATTGTGTAGAACGCTGGAAGGTGCTAAATGAATTTAGTGGATAGACTTATTCAGAGCATTATATGGCAAATAAGCTGTCAGTTTAAGGTTTTGAATTGTACCTTTTGCGATATGCAGGACCCGTGTGACGTGCATGCATCTACAGTACCATTTTGATTTGTTGTAGTTTCCCTATTGCATTGTTTCTGTTCATAGTAATAATTTCATTCACTAGTAAGCCTAAATCTTGAGGAGGCTTAGGTACTAATACTCAGAAGGCCTGCTATATATGAACAAGACATTTAACCTAAATTCTGGTTTGATCTTGATTTTCATTATTTGTTGTATAACCAAGTAAAGCTCAAAGGATAAAACCTTGTCAGACGATTTGCTTCATTTTTCCCCCTTCTATTTCATCTCGGTAGAATATATTTAGATTTTACCCTCATCTATCCAACATCTTAACAAGGTAATATATCCCTACACTGAAGTGTTTGGCAGGCCTAACTACTGCTATGGGAGCATGTACTGGTGCAGTTTGTTCTTAGTCTGACAAAAAAAGTTGATCAAATAAACAAACATGATTGTAACATTGAATCATGTTTTTATAGATGTAATTTGTATTATGAGTTTGCTATATGGTTCTACATGTGTAATGTGAGATTGTATATACGTTTGTGAGTTTGTAAAATATTGTATTTTATCTGTGTTGAATATATCACTACAGTTTTGAATATGAGAAAGGGTTTGGTGAATGTGACCTTTTTATTTTAAAATAATTTTATGAAAACGGGCCTAGTGTTCAGCTATCTATCAATGGCAGGGATCCTATCCTGGTTACTGTAGTTTCAGAGCATTCTGTTGCTTGCTCAGGAGCAGACACAAGTTAACCTGGATTCCATCCAGGCGGATATCTAAAAAGGGAATACAAGAACGTTTTTTTTTTTTTTGGTGTTCATGTTTTTAATTTTAAAGCACTTTATGTTCTCTTCACTTAGCTCTTACTTGGTTTGAACTTGATTGTGAATAGAGGTTGTCAGATTTGTAACGGTAGAAAATATGGCATTAAAACACTTGGCCGAATGGCAGAAGCCAGAAAGATCAAACTGTGTTTGTATGTAGGACAAAAGCGGTGCCACCCACCAACTGTTTATATTGTAAATTATTTATTAAATAAAAGATAAGTGTCTCGTTAACTTTGTGGGTGATGTCTCTATCTTGTGGTAAACCTCTTACTTTGTTTCATAGTGATAATGAAACATTAACCAATGATGAGCATTTTTTAAAATCTGGATTCCCAGTGACGAGGTTGGGTTAGGGTACTTGATTTGCTTCGTTACACTGCCACCTGGTGTAAGCATTGTGTAAGGGTATGATTAAGTGATAATGCCCGAGAAGCTGGTGTTTTGAGGATATATTGGCACGGGTGTTGTTCGTCGAGGGCCGGCAAACCGTGCCAATATATCCTCCAAACACCGGCTTCGAGGGCATTATCACTTTTATACAACGGGTTACCAACATATTCAAATAATGATTGACATATTTTCATTAAAAACGTTATTTTGATTAATGTATTCATACTATTTCATCCTTCCACAAGAGATAGTCTCGACACAAATCTAGGGTTGCTAGAGACGCGACCCAGTCGTTCAGTCTTTTTGTTCTGTATCTATAGACGCGACTCAGTCCTTCAGTCTTTTTGTTCTGTATCTATGGACGCGACCCAGTCGTTCGTTCTAAATGTTCCATTGCCATACTGGCTGGCAACGTTCTTATCCCTTGCTTGCTAGCTAGCCAACTACGGCTAATTTACAGTCACGTCAAAAAGTGCAGCCAGAATAACAGCAAAATAGCTTCATTTGCATTTGTTTAAGGTGTTTTCTAGTGACATTTATTTGGATACATCCATAACAATGAGCTAATGAGGCGCGATTTCGCCTGGCATAGTAAATGTGCTCACTCGTCAGGACACTGTTGTTCAGAGGAGCTAGCCAACAACACAGCTACAGTCACACAATCACGTGTAGCTGAAGCTGGAAAGACTGCAAATTAGCTGCATTTCGTTTTACCTTTTTTCAATTAACCTTTTTTTTTGTATATATCCATAAAAATGATGCCAGCTGATTCATGATTTCGACTGGCTGAGAAACACTGCCTGCCTGTCTGTCTGGTCCCGACACGTTCATTACTATGGGACAGCAGGAGATCGAATTTGAATATTGAAACAATGTTGCAAATGTCGGAGTCAGACAGCAAGGTTAATACAAATCTCCGCTGTTGAAAACGCAATGTTAGTCTAAAAGAAATGTGTGCTAATGTCTAGATGCTTTTTATAGTGGAGATCAACTTTATAAATTGCCTGGCTAGGCTGATGAGACAGTGGATTGCGCAGTCAGATGGAACAGAGTAAATAGGCATTTTAATGTCACAGATTTAGCCTGTGGCAATTTGTGGAATAGACACCGGCTGGAATGCGGTTTTAACCAATCAGCATTCAGGATTATACCCACCCGTTGTATAAATACATTTAAAAACAGCCCAGACATTCTTATCATACAACACATGCATCTCTGATGAGCCATAATAATCCAGGTGGATGCTTTTAGTGATAGCCATGTATGTTGTATATATTAACATAATTGTTGCGGGAGGATCAAGATCCCCAAAGGCAAAGACCTTTATTATAATCAGACCGTTTTAGGATGACACCCAATTATAAGTGTCAGACTGTCAATCTAAAATGTCTCAAGAAATCAGTAATTCATTTGGAAGTTTTTGCTGAGATATTAGCCGCGCAATTTCACATTTTTAGGAGTTTGGTGGAGCGATGGGGTGAGGTTGTGTTCCTCTAAGCGGGGAGGTAAGCTTGGCTTCTTGGCTTCTTTATATGTGTCGAGTAAAGCTTAAACCATGCATTTAGATTGTAGGTATATTGTAGGTAGTTTATCCAGGAAGTTATTGTAGGTAGTTATTGTAGGTAAGTATTGTAGTGTATTCGGCTGAGCCCGGTGAAGCACGAGGCTAGCTAGCTAACCCACTACTGGACCATTAAAGCTAACTAGTTAGCGGGTAGCAACACCGCAGCCACTGCTAGCTGGCCAACTATACCAGCTAGCAGTACTGTAGCAACTAAATACATTTAAACGGAACGATTTGATTAGTGTAAAGTTAGCTAGCTACATAGATGTCTTGGTATCAAAGACAAAGGTGTAGTATAGAGAAACTATCGAGGTTAGCTAGCCAGCTACATTTTCAAACAGTCAACACTGCAGCCACTGCTAGCTAGCCAACATTACCAGCTAGCAGTACTGTATCATTATAGTCAATGAGAATTTTGCAACGTAAGCTTCACTTTCTGAACATTCGAGATGTGTAGTCCACTTGTGTAGCTAGCATGACTGACTTTGTGCTAGCTAGCCAACGTTTAATTACTTCTGCGTTATGAAAGGAACTAGACACGGACATGAATGATCCATTGGTAGTTTGTTGTAACCAAGTATTGGTGCTAAACTGTGTGTTATTGGATGCTAGCATGCTAGTTAGCTATGGCGTCATAGGATACGGTGCCCTGGGCGGTTTTCACAGAAGAATACTGTACCAAGTTAGCTAGCTGAATAAACTAAGTTAGTCTATTCCTGGAAACATTGAACTACTGTAGATTACAGCAATTATAATTTCTAAAGTGGAAGTTGGTAGAGTTGTATTTGAGTGTTTCAGTGAAAGGTTAGTGAGGGAGGCCTCGCTTCCCCAGATGTTTAGTTAATTTCATTCCGATCTCTTTTGCATTAGTGTAGCCTTTTCTGTAGCCTGTCAACTATGTGTCTGTCTATCCCTGTTCTCTCCTCTCCGCACAGGCCATACAAACGCCTCACACCGCGTGGCTGCTGCCTCTCTAACCTGGTGGTCCCTGCACGCACGACCCACGTGGAGTTCCAGGTCTCCGGCAGCCTCTGAAACTGCCGTTCTGCGGCCAACAAGGCAGAGTTCATCTCAGCCTATGCTACCCTCCAGTCCCTCGACTTCTTGGCGTTGACGGAAACATGGATTACCACAAAAAACACTGCTACTCCTACTGCTCTCTCCTCGTCTGACCATGTGTTCTCACATACCCGAGAGCATCTGGTCAGCGGGGCGGTGTCACAGGAATCCTCATCTCTCCCAAATGGACATTCTCTCTTTCTCCCCTGACCCATCTGTCTATCTCCTCATTTGAATTCCATGCTGTCACAGTCACTAGCCCATTCAAGCTTAACATCCTTATCATTTATCGCCCTCCAGGTTCCCTTGGAGAGTTCATCAATGAGCTTGATGCCTTGATAAGTTCCTTTCCTGAGGATGGCTCACCCCTCACAGTTCTGGGTGACTTTAACCTCCCTATGTCTACCTTTGACTAATTTCTCTCTGCCTCCTTCTTTCCACTCCTCTCCTCTTTTGACCTCACCCTCTCACCGTCTCCCCCTTCTCACAAGGCAGGCAATACGCTTGACCTCATCTTTACTAGATGCTGTTCTTCTACTAATCTCACTGCAACTCCCCTCCAAGTCTCCGACCACTACTTTGTATCATTTTCTCTCTCCTCCAACACTACTCACTCTGCCCCGACCTTCGCTCTCTCTCCCGCTACTCTCTCCTCTTCCATCCTATCATCTCTTCCCTCTGCTCAATCCTTCTCCCTCCAATCTCCTGATTCTGCCTCCTCAACCCTCCTCTTCTCCCTTTCTGCATCTTTTGACTCTCTATGTCCCCTATCCTCCCGGCCGGCTCGGACCTCCACTCCAGCTCCTTGGCTTGACGACTCATTGCGAGCTCACAGAACAGGGCTCCGGGCAGCCGAGCGGAAATGGAGGAAAACTAGACTCCCTGCCGACCAGTCATCTTTTCACTCCCTCCTCTCTACATTTTCTTCCTCTGTTTCTGCTGATAAAGCCACTTTCTACCACTCTAAATTTCAAGCCTCTGCCTCTAACCCTAGGAAGCTCTTTGCCACCTTCTCCTCCCTGCTGAATCCTCCTCCTCCCCCTCCCTCCTCCCTCTCTGTGGATGACTTCGTCAACCATTTTGAAAAGAAGGTTGACGACATCCGATCCTCATTTATTAAGTCAAATGACACTGCTGGTCCTGCTCACACTGCCCTACCCTATGCTTTGACTTCTTTCTCCCCTCTCTCTCCAGATGAAATCTTGCGACTTGTGACGGCCGGCCGCCCAACAACCTGCCCGCTTGACCCTATCCCCTCCTCTCTTCTCCAGACCATTTCCGGAGACCTTCTCCCTTACCTCATCTCGCTCATCAACTCATCCTTGACCACTGGCTATGTCCCTTCCGTCTTCAAGAGAGCGAGAGTTGCACCCCTTATCGAAAAACCTACACTCAATACCTCCGATGTCAACAACTACAGACCAGTATCCCTTCTTTATTTTCTTTCCAAAACTCTTGAGCGTGCCGTCTTTAGCCAACTCTCTTGCTATCTCTCTCAGAATGACCTTCTTGATCCAAACCAGTCAGGTTTCAAGACTGGTCATTCAACTGAGACTGCTCTTCTCTGTGTCACGGAGGCTCTCCGCACTGCTAAAGCTAACTCTCTCTCCTCTGCTCTCATCCTTCTAGACCTATCTGCTGCCTTTGATACTGTGAACCATCAGATCCTCCTCTCCACCCTCTCCGAGTTGGGCATCTCCGGCGCGGCTCACTCTTGGATTGACTGCCCGCTCCATGATCTCGCCATCACGGTTGACAACTCTGTTGTGTCCTCCTCATAGAGTGCAAAGAACCTTGGCGTGACCCTGGACAACACCCTGTCGTTCTCCGCTAACATCAAAGCGGTGACCCGATCCTGTAGGTTCATGCTCTACAACATTCGCAGAGTACGACCCTATCTTACACAGGAAGCGACACAGGTCCTAATCCAGGCACTTGTCATCTCCCGTCTGGATTACTGCAACTCGCTGTTGGCTGGGCTCCCTGCCTGTGCCATTAAACCCCTACAACTCATCCAGAACGCTGCAGCCCGTCTGGTGTTCAACCTTCCCAAGTTCTCTCACGTCACCCCGCTCCTCCGCACACTCCACTGGCTTCCAGTTGAAGCCCGCATCTGCTACAAGACCATGGTGCTTGCCTATGGAGCTGTGAGGGGAACGGCACCTCCGTACCTTCAGGCTCTGATCAGTCCCTACACCCAAACGAGGGCATTGCATTCATCCACCTCTGGCCTGCTGGCCCCCCTACCTCTGCGGAAGCACAGTTCCCGCTCAGCCCTGTCAAAACTGTTCGCTGCTCTGGCACCCCAATGGTGGAACAAGCTCCCTTATGACGCCAGGACAGCGGAGTCACTCACCACCTTCCGGAGACACTTGAAACCCCACCTCTTTAAGGAATACCTGGGATAGGATAAAAGTAATCCTTCTACCCTCCCCCTACCCCACCAGAATTTTTTTTTTGTAAATATTTTTTAAATATATATTGTAAAGTGGTTGTCCCACTGGCTATCATAAGGTGAATGCACCAATTTGTAAGTCGCTCTGGATAAGAGCGTCTGCTAAATGACAAATGTAAAATGTTTGGTGAAGTATTTCTCAAGTTACATTTTTTTTGCATAAAAACGAGTCCTCTATCTCAATGACAACAGGAAGGGTGTGTTCGTAAATTCAATCTGGAGTGCCAGAGTGCGCTCGGGGCGTACGTAAACTCAGAGCTTTCGGAGCATTCAGAGCGCACGCTCTCGGAGCATTCAGAGCGCACACTGGACGCTCTTGTCGAGGAGTAGGGTTGATCCGATCGTTCTGACCTCACAACAACAGTCAACCACCCAAGCTACCTGGCTAACATTGGCTAGCTTGCTAGCTACTTCCAGACACAAACACCTCACCTCACTCTGACCATTTTACTCGCCCTAGCAGAGCTAGTAGGGCTGTTTTCATGTTATCCAGAGCGTTGGTGACCGTGCTGCTAGCAACAATTTAATTACGCTCTTTTGCCAACGTTTACTGACACCGGCCATATTCAACTGGTGTTGATCGTTCGTAAATTCCTCAGTTATTCTGCACTTTGGCACACTCCGACCAGTGTTCTGAAATCGGAGTAGATAGCCAGAGCGAATTTCCGAACAAACCCTTAATTGAAGAATCCCTACTATTGACCAACAAAGGTGTGTAGACTTCGGCTACCGAAAAAAAACCTTGCCGAAGACCAAAACGAAAAATATATAATATATATACACACACACGAACTTGTCATACTATATACACGAACTGTTCCAGATGGGCTGCATGCGGATGGACGCCTTTAGTCTTAAGACTCTACTGGATGAATAAACAACAGTGAACATACGTTTTATAATGTAGGAAAGTTTAATACATATATGTCTATAAACATATTGACAGTACATTTCACGTGGAGTGGCTTTCTCACAAATATAAATTATTTAGGCTTGTTTTTAAGAATACAGGTCCAGGGACTGTAGCGTGGAGAAAAGGAAGGTGGAGTTGGTTGGCTATTCCTTGTAACAGATCTGCCCACAGAGGACATAACATTGATTCACCTGTGTAAATAACTTTTGGGGAGTTGCAGAAGAAAATGACAAACAATATCATTTTGTTCCCACCACCAGTCTTCGCTTAACAAGCATGCCACATTACACAATCCATTGAGAAAAATCTCAAAACATGACTGTTTAATACTGCATCATCTCTGTAGTAGAGTACAGTAATGTCCATGAAGCCATCCCACTTGGCACACACACTGGTTGAATCAATGTTGTTTCCACGTCAATTCAATGAAATTAAGTTGAATTGACATCTGTGTCCAGTGGGATATACAGTATGAACATATACACAGAAATAAGGCACAAATGGAGAAGCACACCAAAACACCAGCAATCAGAAGAACCAGAGCAGGGCCAGTCTCTGGTTTGGCACTAAAACAGACTGACCAATAACAGCTTGTCATTAACCACATCCGTAAACACTCAAGAGTCCCTTAGAAAATCTACCAGTGGTTATGCAGTCGCTGGGAATCACACAACCTTTTAACTATAAAAAATGAAAAAATGATTTCCAGAGTCTTCTCAAACATAGCTCAATACTTTTATGGGTGGAATAAACTGGTAGAGTGCAGTACTAATAGTGCAATGTAAGATGCAAAAGTACCATTCATACATAAGACAGAGAGAAATATGGTTGAAATGGCTAATTCTTTGCACATCTACAAATAAATGTTGTTAGGGATCGCATAAACATAGTCATAGTGTTCTTCTGAAGCTTTGCACAAGGAATTACCTTAAATACTGTTTATTAACATGTCCTTCTCATTAGGTCCTTAACTTATTAGTGGGTCAGTGGTTATCATAAACAAAAAAGAAAATGGCAATGATGAATGTCTTTACAGAAGAATGATTATCAACACTAATGACAAATGCTCATTAAACATTTTAAATAGTAATTTTGAGAACTTGGTACTGGCGTGACTAACTTCCTATTCGTCTTCAATTTAGACAGAAAGATGCACTTATTTTGATTTGGGGAAGAAGGTGCATCTCTCTATGAAATTATGATAGTTTCATAACCAGGTCAAGATGAATAAACATTTGAAGGTACGGATGACATCATGATCAACATTCATTTTATTATTATAATGGCATAAAGCTAAACACAAAAAATAAAAGTATTTGGGAATAATCCCATACCGCTAACATTTAAAAGGCCAAATACTTCAGACACTTTAATGTTTCCAGATCAGTCAACATCATCAACCTTTCCGGCATCGTAATCTTTCCCCACATAATAGTCCATGGGACTAACTATCCATAGGCATTCTACAGACTCAGCAATCACACTGACTGATCATCTGTCATTTCAACTAAAGAAAAAACGTTTCTTTGTGTGATACATATTTCAGGATGCTGAACTCTTTTCTACATGGGCACAGACAAAGGTCGTTACCACAGTCACACCTGGGGGAGGGGTTTGGAGAGTTTGGTGTTTTCTGGTAAACAGAGTATTTGTCAATTCCGTTTCCGACTGTGAGGGTATGTCTGGCCAAGCGAACCAGTGAGTAGCCAGCCCAGACCTGTCCTTCAGCAGCATGTGGAGTTCCCACAGTGTTCCTCACCTGGACAAAACACCTTTCCCTTCAGTGACAGGCCTCATGTCATCCTGTTGTTCCAGTTTAAATCAGCCCCAGCTGCTTTCTGCTCTGCAGTCCGCTCTGCGGTTGGCGAGCGTGAGTCCTGGGGGGACTTCTGAGCCTGTGAGGACCGTGGGTCCAGCAGGGGAGGGGGTTTGTTGTCTGGATAGGGCCGGGTGAAGTGTTCTGGCCCTGTCGGCCCCCTTTGCTCCAGCATCCTCCCCCTGAAGTCCTGGGGATGGCCTCCTCCACTCCTGAAGTCTTGGGGAGGACGGAAGTCATCGCCGCGTCTCCGCTTCGCGTCTGGATGTCTGAAGCGAGAGGGATGATGTCTTACAAAGCTTACTACTACAGAGCTACAAGCTACCACAACACTTACGGTTTTAGCATTAAATTCCAATACTGACAAATACAAATCTAGACATTATTGGTTTCGAAAGATGAGGCCTAATTGTGAGTGTTTCTCACCTGTCGTAATATGCCCGCCGGTCCCTGTGATCCTGGTCGTTGTCATACTGGTCATATGGCCTCTTCCGAGGGGAGTTGCTGCTACCGCTACGGTAACTACTAGAGCTGCTGCGGTAGGAGTCTTCACGTGGACGACGGTCGCCATAGTGATGGTCCTTATACCGATGGGCATCATATGGATGATGTCGCTCGCCTTGCCAGGACTGGTTGCTATTTCCAGGGTAGTTGTATTTACGATCTCTCTGCCAATCTCCTCGATCTGTCATCATGAGATAAAATACAGTGGGCCATGAGATATGTCGTGCTCATATCTAAAATTAGAAATCCCCACAATTGCTGCCAAGTTGTAGAGTTGCATACTTCAGATTGGATAAGACCAAATAAACAGCTCTTACCATCATTTCCAAAGTGTCTGTTGTTGGACTTGTTGTAGCCTTCTCTGTGGTGACCATGGGGGGATGTGGGAGAGGGGCGAGGCATGCCTGGATGAGACTTAGACGATGGCTGGGTGCTGGTGGAGTCTCGACTGGAACCTGACGGCTCTGCTCTGAAAGGCTTCTTCCTGCCCGACGGGTCATCCCCCTTTTTTCTATGCTCCTTCTGAAAATTAGCAAAGGACAATGGAAGGGTTAAGCAGAGGACTGAGCAAAAATATCAGATAAATGATTGGCTGACTGTACTTGTTATAAAAACCTGCGAGTTTTGATTAGTGCTGAGCGATTAGTGCTTTTTGAGGTCGGTTAGATTATTAAAAAGTAATAATAGTTTTCAGTTTCAATAAAAAATTATGAATTAAATGTATTATGAAATAATGACGTTACAATGATTTTACATTTACGTCATTTAGACATATTAATTTCAGTTAGTTGTTTAATAACCAGAAAACCCCAGAAAGGTTGGTTAAATTGCTCATCACTAGGTTTGATACTGGGAGAAAAGAGATCACCTCACCTCCTCCTCCTGAGACCGCTTCTTCTGAGCCATCTTGTACAGCTTGTGAAGCTTCCTCGCGCCGAACTCTGTGAACTTGGACACAAATATCCAGAGATTCCTGCCAAACAAAGAGAGACATCTTGGTAAGAGTTACCCTCAATATGGAGAACGATTTTAATGAAACTCAAATGGTATCAGAATTAAAAACATAGATTGACCTAAATAACCAGGGAGTAGGTTTCATAATCAAACCTTCAGTGCACATATAACTTATGGTTGAATGAGGGTTTACCGACGCCATGTTTTGACATGCTCTGGGTCGCTGTAGGCTTTAAGGCACTCAGTGATGCGGTCTCCTATCTTCAGCAGGCAGGTGCGTGTGTGTTGGAGCTGCTCCTGAACAGACAGGCCCTCGTCAGGCTTATCCAGCTGTTTCAGGGCCTTCTTCACCGGCCTCATGCGCTCCTTACACTGGATGGAGACACACACAGTTTACGAGCTCTTGGTCAAAAATGATCCATGTGTTTCAAATATCCTCAGCTGTACAGATGTAGGATCTCAATTTGATCCAGTTTGCTACTGCAGGAAAATAATCATGCAGCAACAGGAAATGTGAATTATAACTTTTGTAGGGGTTGATACATTTTTCATTAGGACAAACTTTAGAAGCCTTTTAAAAACGAAAACACACTACAAGTTTAGCCATGGTAGATTGGCCATATAACCACACCCCCTCTGGCCTTATTGCTTAAATGTAAAATGTTATTAACACCTACATTAGTCTTGTATGTAGTGAATAATATATCCTTATCCTGTCCACGTCAGTAGTGACATGGTGTAATAACTCACTATGCTGAAGGTCTCCTGGTCCAGCTCGTCATCCTCCTCTCCAATGGGAACAGGGTCACTCCCAGCAGTAATGTGGACCGGCCCCTGGGGCTTCTTCCCTTTGGCTCCTTTAGCCTGAGACACAGACAAACAGACACCACTCAGCAGGGCAACACAGATCTCCACACAAACACCTGCACAGTGACACTTCACCCTGGTGGTCCAAGAACAATCTGATAACCTAATCTGTACATCCACCTTCCAACAAAAGTTCCCCATTTGTTCAGAAACAGGAAAGGTTAGTGGGTGTGAAATTATACACTACCGCAGCACAATGCATAAAGTTCACGACTTCTAAAGTACCTTTTCTTTTTTTGTCTTGGGACGTTTTTTGTCTTTGTCCACCTCTTTCTCTTTTTTAGGAGTTCCCTGTTTTTCTTTGTTCTCTTTGTTATCCTTCTTCTTCTGTCTCTTCTTTGTGGGAGTTTTTTCTGTCCCGTCATCCTAGTTAAATAAAAAACACAGAAAGGTAAATAAGTAAACCAGTTCTGGTGGACTACAAAGACTACATCGTGTTACCATTGTGTTCTTTTTCCCGGTATTCTGTAACCAAGGGGAAATTCCCTTGTGAAAAGGCAGGTGGTTGATAGGCAGGTTGTGCTGGGTCTTTTGAGGTGACTTACCCTCACCTCCCCTTCCTCGGAGGGGTTGTCTGACAGGCGAGGGGAGGAGATGTCATTGCCCTGCTCATCTTTAGGGGCCTTGTTCTCTTTCTTCACCCGAGGCTTCCTCTTCCTCACTTTGGCCTGAGGGGGGGGGGAGATATGATCAGCCAAGGGGATATGTACTCTACTGTGAAGAGACCATTCCCAGACAGAATGTAAGGTATGAAGAGCATTATCGAATGGATTTGCATATAGATATTCCAAGGGTTCAGATGCATAGGCATTCCCTATGGTCCTGATAAACAGAGCAGTGAGGTCTTTGCTTACCTCCTCCTTAGTGACATCGTTACTGTCCACTTCTTTCTTCAACATCTTCAGAAGGTAGTCTGTTCTGCCCTGCAACTGCTTCCCTTGGGGTTTCTTTTCTGGGTCACCGGGGAGAATCTGGAATACAGATTTGAATACAATTTGTTACCAGAAGAAGAATAAAAATGTTACCAGGATCCAATCTAACACACACACAGCTTCATTGAGTTCCACAGCTATCTGAGAAATGTGTGATTCTGACATTCTGATGGTTACCTTGTCTGCAAGTTTGAGATCCGGATCTGTCTTCATCAGATCCCAGTTGCCGTAGCCATGCTCATAGACCCCCAGCAACAGTTGAGTGTCATCCTGCAGATCCCAGTCCACGTCAAAGTGAGGCACCTTCACTCTGCAGGTCAGTTGGAACCTATGGCAGGAGGAGGAGAGGTGGTCAAACCCTCTGCTACTTCTGCCCATCAAGATGATGCCCTGGTGTCTGCATCTGTTGTTACAACTTTAACCCTTTACACTCGTGGGAATTGGCCGATAGGGATACATTGAAATGTTTCTTACAGAAGAAACATGGAAATGCATAATCATGGTAGTAATTAAAAGGTTCTAGTTTGGAGATTATGGTAAATTATTAGACTAAAGGTGCGGACACAACAGTTCACCTGATAAGACTGAATCCAAACATTACACTGTTGATTTTATGTTGATTTAACATTTACTGTGCTTTTAGTCGCATTTGTTGATAATGAAATCTGAAATACTCTGCATACATTCAGTAACATGGTAAGAATATTATTAGAACATTTGGGGTAGTTGCAACTTTAAAAATGTCAAGGGTTTGAGTGAGAGATCAAACTGGTCTCCAAGTGGCCACACAACTCTCCAAAGTGTGCACTTTTATGATTCAAAGAAGTCTTCATCTATAAGTTGCTTTTTTGAGCTCTCCTAGCTATGCCATTGAGGAACTAGAGCAAGCACACTTGTAGTTGTTTTGAACACAGCCCTGCAATCCAAAATCTATTATAAATCGCAATCTGGGTCACGTGGGCATCATTTGAAAGCTTGTTCTTTTGCCAAAATGACTAGCTGTATTATAAAATACGATCTTACATTGTTAAGACTTTCACAAGGAAATTCAGAGAAGCATATCGTAATTTTGGTGGGCGTAGAGTCATGAGTGCATTGACGCGTGCTCCGTGGCATATTTTCTTCACAATACAGCAAACATTCTAATCAGGACAACTCAGAGTATAACGCCATGTCATCTTTTAACTGTACATTAAACATAGTGATCATAAACGTTGACATGAGTTTTATGATATGGAAATGTGAAGTGTACATTTGGACTCACAGATGTTTGGCTTACTTGTACGGCATCAAAACCGGTATTTATTATAATCCTCAACTTCTCATCTTTCAAAATACTTTGAGTACTCTTAAATTTACAGCATTTCCCTCACTCAGACATCAAAACATTTGCTGAAGTTGCCCAATTAGCGGGAGGGATGGGAGCAACTTCTTGTCGCGTGCGGTGCTCAAGTTCAGAACAGCTGTCACTCAAAACCCATACAGAGCTGTGAAGTGGAGAACCTAAGCTCTGTCGTCACATATAGCATGTCGTCACATATAGCATATTACTGTACAGCCACTGTGTTTTGATTTACTCACTTATTATTGTCCAAATCTGCCATTTTCAACCCGTATAGGAATATTTATGTTCTGTGCATATTGTTTCACAGGCCTCAGATATACCTGCAATGGCATCTTACTTGTTTCTCTCAGCAGGATTAGCTGGCACAACTTTGTGCAGTGGCTCAAACTCCTCCTCATGCTGAATGATGGACTTGGCATTGACCTGCACTCCTGAGATCTTGATGTTTATACCTCTGCGCTTCCCAGGACCTTTGGCTAAAGGAACAGGGTATACATGAGTAAAAACATTACAACACACTTATTGTGAGCCATAATTCCCCAAAAACTGAGTCATGCAGACAGACAGAGTCAGACAGACACACCTTCACTGGGGTTCTCTCTGAGGTGCTCTTCGTGCTCTTGGACAGCCGTCACACAACTGTTGTGGATCAGCTCTCCCAGTCTCTTCAGGTCTGCCTGAGATTTTTCCACCAGCTCAGAGTCCCGGGCAATGCACTCTAGCCTTTCAAGCGGAGCTCCAAATTTCTTGTAAGCCTTGATAAACCTGATAAAGGAAAGAGTAAAACATTAACCAAGCGTTTAATAAAACATTGAGAAATCATTCAGTCTAATGAATAAAGAGACCTACATACTGTACCTGCGGATCTCTGCATCAGTGAAACCCTCCACGTTGTTCTTGCGGGCTCTGGGCCTGCCTCTCCTCTTTGGCTTCTTGTCATCACCGCTGTCGTCAGTCTCGCTCTCAGAGCCTGAAGAGCGGTGCTTCAGCTTGGAGCCAACGTCACTGTCACTGTCGTTGGCCTGGGCCTGCAAGACACAAGACTACTTTCAGACACAACAAGCAAAACCTATTTCCTATTGAATGTAGTTCCAAGTGCCTTTTTGTGTTATGGATACTTCTGAATGCTTCAATGTTTAATGATGTGGGTTTAGTATAATATGAAATAAAATCATGATAAAATCTAATCATCAATAATTATAATTTAATCACCATATTGAATAATTTTGAGATTACTCTTCTATGAATTTCATGAATTTAGATCATCTTCAACAGGAGAGGATATTATCTGTGTGATATAAATACCTACTGCTGCATCGCAAGGGACAGCGCTGCTATAAATCCTAATGATTCATTAAGGAAGCTTCTTATGCGGTAGATTCACACAAACAGTGGAATCACCTACACTGAGGCAGGCAGTAAAAACCTCATTACTCATGACCACCCCATCAGATCCCCCTGACTGAGAGCAGGAGAGTACACAGCTCAGCAGCGCACACACTCCCCAGGGGAGCCCCTTCACACACACAGCACACTGTGCTGCACCATGGAGCAGTCACATCTCTCTCCAGCTCTAGAGAGGAGATTTAACGTGAGAGGTGTGTGTATGTGTTCTCTCCTGCTAACCCTTTTATTGGAGCTCCTGCTCCTGGGCAGCATGTAGACGTCCTCCATCTCCTTCTGCTTCTGCTCCTCCTCCAGCTTCCGCCTCTGGTCCTCAGGGATGATGTCGTCCCAGTCAGGCACCGTCCGCTCCACCAGGTCTGGAGCACTCTCCTCCATGTTGGAGAAGTTGGCCACCTGGAGGGACACACAGAACACATGTACTGTCTAAGACTGGGAATAGAGTGGCTAGTGTATTAGCTAGAACAGTAGCTAAAGGTTTTACTACAGGTATTGTTAAAATCAGACTCAGAGTTGGATCAACTTCTAGGTACCTTGAACTGAGAGAGAAGCTCATCTGTGGCACTTGATCCCTGGTCGCTTTCTCTGGTTTCAGCCAACCGCAAGATCTCATCAATATCCATCTCCTATGAGGGCCAATAGAGAACAGAAAGTTAAATTACAAGGAACACAACACAGACATTCTGCAAATATGGAAATATGAAAATCTATCATTCATACTCTTACATATATTGGTTTCAACTCTCTTCAGAGCACATAATCAATAGAAATGTGTGTCTCTATGTACCGTAGGTTCAGTCTCCTCTCCCTCTGCCTCTTTGAAAAGATCTTCAGCTCCAAACTTCAGGATGGCAGTCAACTCATCTTTGTTGAATGGGTTGGAACTGTGAACAGAAGTTGATGTTAAGTTAAGAATCTGAGGAACCTCATGTTTTCAGCAGTTACTAGTCAAACATAAAGATATATCCAGACTAACAGATTCCATGTTAAAGTTTCCTTACTTAGAATTTCCAGAGTTGTTATCCAGTACAGTTCGACCAGTGGTGTCCATTCTCTGAATAACAAGATGGTCCAAAACCATCTTCTTCTTGGCTCTCTCAATAATGTCTTCCTCCACAGATCCTTTTGTGACCAAGCGATAGATATTCACCTGTTCAGCGAGACAAAGGAGATTTTAAATCAAATCACATTTTATTGGTCACATACACATATTTAGCAGATGTTATTGCGGGTGTAGCAAAATGCTTGTGTCTTACTTGGAAAGTTGGCAAAGACCAACATTTCCATGACGGCTCTGCCAAAACGATTATGTGTCACAGTTTTTATTAGTTCAGTTCAAGTTAGCAGAATAAATTCAGCTTGTGCTTAGCCAAGCCAGCCCTCCATACTAATCACTATGGGTCTAGTTGTGGTTACCTGTTTCTTCTGGCCAATCCTGTGAGCCCTGGCCTGAGCCTGCAGGTCGTTCTGAGGATTCCAGTCAGAGTCAAAGATGACCACAGTGTCTGCAGATGCCAGGTTGATCCCCAGCCCTCCAGCCCTGGTGGATAGCAGAAAACAGAAGTCCTGGACAGAGAGGATAAATTATTATATACAAAACTAACCACCTTACATAGTGCATCACAGCCGACCTGATGAACATCGCAAAGGAATTTAATGCTTGAAGTTGAAAACATGTCAAGAGTGATAATTGTTCATGTGGCTTTTATTGTATGGTAATCAGATATCAGATGTGTTGATATCACTTCTTAAAGAAAATTGGGTTTTACTTAACAGAATATCATAACTTCTACGTAGAAAATCTTAACACTCAAAGAAAATGAGATTCTAGTATCAATATGGTAATCTTGACGGTGTATACATCTCCTGGCGCATAAACAATCACAGAGTAAGTGAAACCCATACCAACTGAGCTCTGACGCAGATACAGAGCTGACAAACACTGAAATGATCAACCCCTCATATCTGCAACAGCTAAAACATGACATAGTACAGATTACATACCTCAGAGCCTTCAGCATTAAAGTGGTCAAGTGCCTGTTTTCGTATTTCTCCCTTTATGGAACCGTCCAGGCGCTGAGAAGAGAGGGAAGGAGAGAGACCTCAGGCCTTGGAACCTTGCCGAAACTCCCACCACCCTAAGATCCCACTTAGCAACGCTCAGCTATACATGGCATTATACCATCCATCCATCAGGCAAGCAGCATATTGTCAAAGAGCATTACAGCAGTAGAACTGTCTACAGTGATTTACCCATGCTAAGGCCCAGCGTGAAGACACAGTGGTCACTCTGGCTTTGGGGACCAGCCAGTCCCCATCAAAAATAACTTGAGGATAAAAATAACTTTATACACGATCAGTCTGCCAGCGCATGTATGCAGCAAAACTGATACATGAGCCGGTTAACACCAGAGTTGACACCAACACTGCTCCAATATCTCAACAGCTCCTCTACTGTAAACGCCCTCACTAAGTCAATATAATAAATATGGAATAACATATAATGGAGATGTAAAAGAACCAACAACAAGAAGAAGTCATACTGAATACAAGAAGAACAGGAGGTACACTACTGAAGGTTTGGACCTGCTGCCTTGCCATTCCCTGGGCTGTGTTATACCCTACCTGGAATGGGTAGCGCTTCAGGGCCAGGTACTCAGCCAGGATGTCCAACATCCGCACCATCTGGGAGAAGATGAGGACTCGGTTGCCCCTCTCCCGAAGTCTGGTCAGCAGCTTGTCCAGTAGCACCAGCTTCCCACTGCCCCTCACCAACGCCTGAAATACACACAAGGTCAGAGGTCAAATCTGTTCTCCACCCCTAACAAACCAATATATTAGTGTGGGTTGCATTTAATCATGCTATTCCATATTAATCAACGTTCAAAACGGAAAAAACAGAGGAGATAATTAGTTCACGGTCTTATCATTTGCAAGGTAGAGACTAATTCACATAACACATATTTTAATGTGTTGAGCTGAGCTCTTATTGCTGGTCCTACCTGCAGGTGCTCCTGTTGAGTGTCACACTCCTCCTCGGGCTGCTTGATGAGGAAACCATGGTTAGTGCACTTCTTTAGCTCCATGACGATGTTGAGGAAACCAGAGGAGCTGCCTCGGGTGCCTTTCTGCAGGGCTCTGAAGTTCCTGGTCAGAATCCACCTGAAACAAGCACCAAACACACCACCAGTTAACTTCAGGTATAAGGAGTAAGACGGTTTAGATACTGCTCAAATCATCTGTCCAGACAGGCAGACATTGATAGAGAGAAAAGCTACATATGAGGGAACATACTTGTAGTACTGCTTCTGCACGGCGGACATGTCCACACGAAGGATCTGTTCTACCTTAGCAGGCAGGGATTTCTCCACATCCTTCTTGACACGCCTCAGGAGGAAGGGCTCAAGGACTTTGTGGAGGCTCTGGTAGCCATTGTCAGTCCCTTTACCATGCTCGCTTTCAAAATCTTCCCAATTCTCAAACCTTCAGAGGGGGAAAGTACAATTGGATTAGGATAAGATTACTGTAAATGAATACAAATGTACAAGTTGTTCTTCAAAGCCAGAATGTGCCAACGTTTATATGATGTATTTAATAGAGAGGAGAAGTACATACTTGTCAGGCATGAGGAAGTGCAGAAGGGACCACAGCTCTTTGAGAGAGTTCTGCAGTGGCGTCCCTGTGATTAGAAGTCTGTGGTTGGACCGGAACTCGATCAGGGTTTTGTACAACAGGGAGTCGTCATTCTTCAGCCTGTGAGCTTCGTCCACACCCAGGAAGGCCCAGTTTATGTTCCCCAACACTGCCTATGGACAGATCACACATTGAGTGAGTGTAGAGTTGCATTCAATCAAACAATTCACTTTTTATGTTCTTAACAATTAAAATAAAGATTTGTACTATTTTGGCAAGTACAAATCCAAGCTCATATCTAAATATATCAGTCTGAAAATACTTACAAGCAATACTGATGCCTTACCTTGTCTTTCAGTAGAATTTCATACGTGGTTATAAGTGCATTGAACTTTATTCTCTTTGTCTGATGGCATACCCACTCATAGTCACGGATCTGTTGAGCACAAAAGCAAAGCAGAGGGGAACATTTACTTTTGGTTGGGCAAAAGATCACAACGCTTCTTTAGAGTTCTGTAAAGAGCAGATTTCCGTACCGATTTTCTGCTCATCACATCTCCCAGGTAGACCACCACGTTCATGTCGGGGGCCCAGGTGTCAAACTCTCTCTGCCAGGAGGTGAGGGTGGACAGGGGCACCACCACCAGGGAGGGCCCATACAGCTGGTGCTGGTGGAACATGTAGGACAGGAACGAGATGGTCTGGATGGTTTTCCCCAGACCCATCTCATCAGCCAGGATCACACTATTGCACCTGAAAAACACAGACCATGGAGTCTTATTAGTGCGTTTTCAAACATTACATTCAAACTATCTAAATGGCAGGTAATTGACAGTACACCTCAGTATAGTATCAGTATATCCATAAAATGTGATGTTCAAATCTATAATAATCAGTTTCTCAATACAGCGTTCCTCATGACTTGATGTGTACCTGCACCAAGAGTGAGCCAGCCAGTTCAGTCCATCTAGCTGGTAATCTCTCAGCTGTAGGTTCTCATCCCCAATATACGATGGCTGCTTCTTTAGTGCAACAAATCTGGGCCTCTGTTTCAACACCTGAAATTAGAGTTAGAAAATCACTGCACTGTTCTGAAATGACTATAGCTATAGTTCTTGTGTTCTAGCTGATATTAGTAAACTTTAAATAAACCATTTGTGATAGGATACCATGTGCAATCTATCTAGTAGGGACACTTTCCTCACTCACTTTGCAGTCTTTGGAGGGAACTGTTTTGCTGGAGTTCCTGTTGGTGAAGCTGTCTATACAGTGCTGGAACTTCTTCCCCAGCAGAGCTCCATCCTCCCAGCTGCACTCTGAATAGGGCAGGCCCATCCACTTACACAGGTACTCAGGCTCATTGGACGACGACGCATTCTTGTGGCTGTGAGCTGATGTACAGTGAAAACAACATCTTTAGTTAAAGTGCTTTTCAGAATAAAAATGTGCTGAGTATGATAATGATGAAGATATGATCATGATAATGTTGATGAGGATATGAGGAACTTACAGGGGAAATCAGAGGGTCCCTGTGTCTTCCCGGTTTTAGTCGCTGAAAAATAAAATCTCAAATTACATTCCCCAAATCCAATTCTCTAAATATATGATACAGCATGTGAAATATTTTTGATAAGCAAGAGGGTAAGTCTGTTGTAATAATCACATTCTGTCAAACAAATCTATTTTAATTGTTGAACGATTGCTGCTAGTCAATGAAGACTAATTTCAAAGGCATTTAGTTTCTTACCAATGACTCTTTCCAAAATGTGGAACTGCTTATTTAAGTCAGTGGTTAGCTCTTGTTGGCAGTTGTAGTATTCTGAATCCTCAGGGGATGCTTTGTTCAACCTTTGGAAGACAATCAGTGTCAGTAACAGAACTCATCAACAGTGAAAGGTAAAACTTAAGTGGTATGTAACTATGTGTACAAAACAAACCCTCACCAAGCATTGAGCTCACTGTTTTTCTTCTTGAAGTTCTCTAGTTTCTTGAGTCCCTTGACCTTCTGTTGAGTGAGGGAGTCGATGCTCTCCCAGGTGTTGTGGATATAGGACCAGCCTTTCCACTTGATCAGGTAATGGGTCTCTCCTTCATCCTTCTCAGGGTCAAAGTCTGCTCCTGGATCCCCATTTTCCTCCACAGCATACTGGGTAGTGGAAGCACCACAGGCTAAAATGGATAAACGCACAAAATTCGGACAATAATATTGTCAATATCTGCATATTATTCGCAGTTTAAATTCCTAACCAGGGGGCAGCCTCTAGTAAACAGATGTCTCGTCTAGCAGGGTAATATCAGCACCTCTGATGCTAGCCACAAGTTTTGTTGCCTTCACTTTCAACACCTGCTGGCAATGTCTAACTAGATGGATTAACACGATACAGGTGAGATACCAACAATAAGATACCAAGTGAGGATGCATCACCTCCTTTTTTGCCTGTTCTGGTGTCCATGATCTTCTCAATGGTCTCACTGTCATCTTCCGGCTCTACCTCAGCTCCCTCCATCTCTATCAGGTCGTCAGAATCCGTCTCAAAGTCATTCTGGTCCTCCTTGTAACTGGAACAAACCAACATAATGCATGTCATGCACAGTAATGTGACAGAAGCAATGTGGAACAGCAACACTTTCCTTCATATTTTAGATTGAACTAGTGAAACAATGACACACCTGACTTTGGCAGCCAGCCTTCGCCGGGTTTGTCTCTTTGGGGTATCTTCATCATCGTCATCGTCGTCATCATCATCATCTTCCTCCACAGATGACTCTTGTTTCCTGGTTTTCCTTCCCTTCGGAGGCTGCTGTTTTTTGATTGTAGATGATTTGGTCTGTGGTCTAAAATATTGAGTCAAATACACACACATGTATACCACTTCTAACCACTCTGCAAGACAGCCTACTTACTAGTTTTTATCTAACAGCTCTAGCGGACAATAATCCCCCCGAACAACCTGACTCACACCAATGGCCTTGAGACAGCTTTCAAACCTCTGACCTCAGCAATATGAATAATATTGGTGATAAGGTTACGGTGAATGTCTTCATTAAAATGCCTTTAGAGCACTAAGTGCTCAATTGGGGGAAATCCTAAAGTCAACCCACAAAAGGTGACACTCCAAAAACACTTAACATGTAACTGGTATGTTAGTGAGCTTTAATTAGAACATCCATTTGGTTGACTTTGGGATTTTTAACCGTTATTTTGTAATCCTTCTGAGTCTAAATGTAATTATAAACTGGGTGGTTTGAGCCCTGAATGCTGATTGGCTGACAGCCATGGTATATCAGAACGTATACCACAGGTATAACAAAACATTTATTTTTACTGCTCTAATTACATTGGTAACCAGTATATAATAGCAATAAGGCACCTCAGGGGGTTGTGATATATGGCCAATTTTGCATAATTATCAGATTTGAATTTACAGATTTCATATTTTGTATGTGACTGAAGGCTAAAAAGAAACCCTGTCATACAGAACTTTCAAGGCCAAAAATGCACTACTATAGCTAGTTTCTGATCGCACACAATGTAAATGAAAGTGGACAGATTAGCTGTCTGAAGGCAAGGCTTCACTACATCCTTACCTTCTAGCAGGAAGTCGTCTGGATCTAACTTTTTTCTCTTCATGCTCACTGTCTGCACTGCTGGCATCATCATCTTCCTGCTCCTCCTCCTCCTCATCATCATCATCATCCGAGTCATCACCTTTCCAGGTATTTCTTACAACACAGAAATACAACAAGTTCAACCTTTGGGCTTATAATGGCTCTACACCTGGCTTAGGGTGCTCTGGTTAGCCAGGTTTGATCAGAAATCTAAACATAAACTAAGGTATGAAGACCACCTCAGTCTTATTGGCTGGAACTCCTAATGAGCCACTTTAGACAAGCACAAACACCCACATATGTATGAAAATGGCAAGGACACAACCAACATTTTTTTTTGTAGATAAGTAGCAAATATATACAGTACCAGTCAAAGTTTGGACACGCCTACTAATTCCAGGTTTATTTAATTTTTTACATTGTACAATAATACTGAAGACATCAAAACTATGAAATAACACATAGGGAATCATGTAGTAACCAAAAAAGTGTTAAACAAATCCAAATATATTTTATATTTGAGATTCTTCAAAGTAGCCACCCTTTGCTTTGATGACAGTTTTGCAACACTCTTGGCATTCTCTCAACCAGCTTCATTAGGTAGTCACCTGGAATGCATTTCAATTAACAGGTGTGCCTTCTTAAAAGTTAATTTGTGGAATTTCTTTCCTTCTTAATGCGTTTGAGCCAATCAGTTGTGTTGTGACAAGGTATGAGTGGTATACAGAAGATAGCCCTATTTGGTAAAAGACCAAGTCCATATTATGGCAAGAACATCTCAAATAAGCATAGAGAAACGAGAGTCCATCATTACTTTAAGACATGAAGGTCAGTCAATACAGAAGATTTCAAGAACTTTGAAAGTTTCTTCAAGTGCAGTCACAAAAACCATCAAGTGCTATGATGAAACTGGATCTCATGAGGAACGCCACAGGAAAGGAAGACCCAGAGTTACCTCTGCTGCAGAGGATAAGTTCATTGGAGTTACCTGCCCCAGAAATTGCAGCCCAAATAAATGCTTCACAGAGTTCAAGTAACAGACACATCTCAACATCAACTGTTCAGAGGAGACTGCGTGAATCAGGCCTTCATGGTTGAATTGCTGCAAAGAAACCACTACTAAAGGACACCAATAAGATGAAGAGACTTGCTTGGGCCAAGAAACACGAGCAATGGACATAAGACCAGTGTAAATCTGTCCTGTGGTCTGATGAGTCCAAATTTGAGATTTTTTGTTCCAACCGCCATGTCTTTGTGAGACGCAGAGTAGGTGAATGAATGATCTCCACATGTGTGGTTCCCACCGTGAAGCATGGAGGAGGAGGTGTGATAGTGCTTTGCTGGTGACATTGTCTGTGATTTATTTAGAATTCAAGGCACACTTAACCAGCATGGCTACCACAGCATTCTGCAGCGATACACCATCCCATCTGGTTTGGGCTTAGTGGGACTATCATTTGTTTTTCAACAGGACAATGACCCCACACACCTCCAGGCTGTGTAAGGGCTATTTTACCAAGAAGGAGAGTGATGGAGTGCTGCATCAGATGGCCTGGCCTCCACAATCACACGACCTGAACCAAATTGAGATGGTTTGGGATGATTCGGACCGCAGAGTGAAGGAAAAGCAGCCAAGTGCTCAGCATATGTGGCAACACCTTCAAGACTGTTGGAAAGGGATTCCAGGTGAAGCTGGTTAAGAGAATGCCAAGAGTGTGCAAAGCTGTCCTCAAGACAAAGGGTGGCTATTTGAAGAATCTCAAATATATTTTGATTTGTTTAATACTTTTTTGGTTACTACATGATTCCATGTGTTATTTCATAGTTTTGATGTCTTTACTATTATTCTACAATGTAGAAAATAGTTAAAATAAAGAAAAACTCTTGAATGAGTAGGTGTGTCCAACCTTTCGACTGGTACTGTATATATATATATATATATATATATATATATATATATTTATTATCTCACAAAAGTGAGTACACCCCTCACATTTTTGTAAATATTTGAGTATATATTTTCTTGTGACACTGACGAAATGACACTTTGCTACAATGTAAAGTAGTGAGTGTACAGCTTGTATAACAGTGTACATTTGCTGTCCCCTCAAAATAACTCAACACAGCCATTAATGTCTAACCCGCTGACAACAAAAGTGAGTACACCCCTAAGTGAAAATGTCCAAATTGGGCCCAATTAGCCATTTTCCCTCCCCGATGTCACGTGACCCATTAGTGTTACAAGGTCTCAGGTGTGAATGGGGAGCAGGTGTGTTCAATTTGGTGTCATCGCTCTCACACTCCCTCATACGGGTCACAGGAAGTTCAACATGGCACCTCATGGCAAAGAACTCTCTGAGGATCTGAAAAAAAGAATTGTTGCTCTACATAAAAGATGGCCTGGGCTATAGGAAGATTGCCAAGACCCTGAAACTGAGCTGCAGCACGGTGGCCAAGACCATACAGCGGTTTAACAGGACAGGTTCCACTCAGAACAGGCCTCGCCATGGTCGACCAAAGAAGTTGAGTGCACGTGTTCAGCGTCATATCCAGAGGTTGTCTTTGGGAAATAGACGTATGAGTGCTGCCAGCATTGTTGCAGAGGTTGAAGGGGTGGGGGGGTCAGCCTGTCAGTGCTCAGACCATACACCGCACAGTGCATCAAATTGGTCTGCATGGCTGTCGTCCCAAAAGGAAGCCTCTTCTAAAGATGCTGCACAAGAAAGCCCGCAAACAGTTTGCTGAAGACAAGCAGACTAAGGACATGGATTACTGGAACCATGTCCTGTGGTCTGATGAGACCAAGATAAACTTATTTGGTTTACATGGTGTCAAGCATGTGTGGCGGCAACCAGGTGAGGAGTACAAAGACAAGTGTGTCTTGCCTACAGTCAAGCATGGTGGTGGGACTGCATGAGTGCTGCCGGCACTGGGGAGCTACAGTTCATTGAGGGAACCATGAATGGCAACATGTACTGTGACATACTGAAGCAGAGCATGATCCCCTCCCTTCGGAGACTGGGCCGCAGGGCAGTATTCTAACATGATAACGACACCAAACACACCTCAAAGACGACCACTTGAAATGAATGAAATAATAAACATCAAATAATCTCAATACTCACTCTTTCTTCTTTTGTCGTGGTACTTTTCTTTTAGGACATTCACCTTCTGAGTCACTGCTACCCTGCAAATGTGTTGAAATTAATTACATCTCAATGAGAAATTAGGCTTTGCATTGCTTTGCCGCTACACGTTGCAGCTACATTGAATGAGACGCCAATAAATCGACATCATATCCACTAGATGGTGCAACTTCTGCACGTGCAAACCCCTTTGAGGAAAAAATACATTTTCAGTGGGGTCGGACTTTTAGTACATGGAAGTTTGTTCTATGGATTTCCATTCAGCAGTATTTCATGTTGCACTTCTTACCCCAGCTCCAATATTGAGACGAGCAGGTTCTTGCCTACTGCGATTTGATCGCCTGACCCCATAGACATCTGGATGCTCTTCCCACATCTGGAAACAAAAATCAAATTAGATCATTGCATCTTTGCCTTCACTTTCTCCTTGTCATTTTCAGTCTCCATCCCAATTGAGGCATGACTCCTTTTCTAAATATGCACAGAGTCCACGCATCAAAGCTGTTGTGTAATTGATGGTGTGAAATATTTGTTTCCAAAATTTCAAGGGCCTTTCAGCCCTACAAAATACAACTCAGGAAAACCAGTTTGGAGTACAGGCCCTGCTTTGTTTACCTTCTTTACATCTGCCAGATTGTCTTTCTTTTTAACTGGTGGTTTGTCGTTGACCTCTGCTAAGGCCTGCTGGGATTCACTCTGAGATCCGGACTGGCTCCCAGATTCAGAGGAACTGTTGGACTCTCCAGAGTGGTGCGATCTTCTCCTCTCCCTGCCCTGTTCACTCTCCGACTGACTCCCAGACTCCGACCCAGAGTGGTTCGAGTCTTCTGAGGCCGAATTGCTATGGTATCAAAAATATGTGGAGTTTCAGTCTAAAAACATTACTGCATTACTTATACTGAACAAAAATATAAAACACAACAAGCAGCAATTAATGATTTTACTGAGTTACAGTTCATATAAGGAAATCAGTCAATTGAAATAAATTAATCAGGCCCTAATCCATGGATTTCACATGACTGGGCAGGGGCATAGGCCCACCCAATTGGGAGCCAGGCCCAGCCAATCAGAATGGGTTTTTTCCCCACAAAAGGGCTTTATTACAGACAGAAATATTCCTCAGTTTCATCAGCTGTCCAGGTGGCTGGTCTAAGACGATCCCACAGGTGAAGAAGCCGGGTGTGGAGGTCCTGGGATGGCATGGTTAAACGTGGTCTGCGGTTGTGAGGCCGGTTGGACGTACTGACAAATTCAGGCCAATTGCATGCTCCCTCAAAACTTGAGACATCTGTGGCATTGTGTGACAAAACTGCACATTTTAGAGTGGCCTTTTATTGTCCCCAGCACAAGGCACACTTGTGTAATGATCATGCTCTTTTTAAATCAGCTTCTTGATATGCCACACCTGTCAGGTGGATGGATTATCTTGGCAAAGGAGAAATGTTCACTAACAGGGATGTAAACAAATTTGTGCACAAGATTTGAGAGAAATAAGCTTTTTGTGCGTATAGAAAGATTCTGGGATCTTGTATTTCAGCTCATGAAACATGGGACCAACACTTTACATGTTGCGTTTATATTTTTGTTCAGTATAGTACCACCCTTTTATACTGCTGGATTTTCATTTGAGAAGCTATGCAATCATTGCCTTTTTCAATAAAAAGCCCAGTTTATTTACAGTTTCTCCGACCTCCCACCTACTATTGTCAAACACTGATTTGGCTCAACAAATTAAGATTAGGATCACTTTATTCTTCCAATTGTACACAAGGTCTAATGGAAAATTTGACTCTCACTTCATCCCAACCCCTCTGAAAGACATACATACAGGTTGGAGAGGTCGGAGCAGTGGGCTGACACACTAGGTGCCTACGGAGCAGTTGTTATGGTGGGTTAAGTGCCTTTCTCAAGGGCACAACAGCAGGCAATTGCATCTAGGATTTGTATGTAGGAAATGTTAACCTAGGCCAGGGGTATTCAACTCTTAACCTACGAGGTCCGGTGCCTGCTGGTTGTCTGTTCTACCTGAATGAATTGCACCCACCTGGTGTCCCAGGTCTAAATCAGTTCCTGATTAGAGGGGAACAATAAACAAATGCAGTGGAACCTGAGTTCGAGGTACAGAGTTGAGTTTGAGGGACCTAGGCCTATAACACAAAGTAGAAAAAGCTGCAGAACGTGTGACATGTTAAATAAACGGAGTATGGAGTTCCTGTAGTATTGAAAAGACTACACACAAAACGCCGCTAATGCCTTTTGTGGAGAGGAAACCGAAGACTCATATCACCATAGTGTGCTCAGATTAACTTTGGTAATAACAAGCCCATTCTCTCAAACCAATCCTCTTGCACTGATCTTTAAAAATACTTCACAACATAAGCCCATGCAGGAGAACTTGCTGGAGGTAACCTAGAACAGTGGTTCTCAATCTGGGGTGCGTGTTATGTCCATATTATTATTGTCATGTTGAAAGACCTTTCCACAATTAGTAGAAAGAGGACGAAGGGAAGCGCTACTAAGGTACACAATAGTAAATGTTGGTAGACACTCCCTGACGAAGGCCATGCAGCCAAAACACGTCGGAATTTTTTAAAACCTTGTTTCTATTGAACATGCCATACTAATAAAGGCATTTTAATTAATTATGTGAAGAGTGCCTTGGTCCTCCTTTCTTTTTGATGACCTTTCCACAATATTAAAAAGTTTCCCACACTAAAATTATCTTTGTATTCATTCAATTCCTAAAATAGCCTACAAACTTTCACAAACTACATTACCTGCTGTAAAACAGTAGAGGGAGCCAAATAAGTCCTATGGGTGCACGTCCCACATCAGGGCTGCGTTCAGCACGTTTTTACGTTCTGGAACGTTCAATTTCGGAAATGGTGCTGTACTGAACGAGTGGAAAAATGGGGAGGGTTTGTGGGTTGGGGAACGCTGTCAGCATGGCCACTGCCCTTTAAATACATCACTCATCGCTTCAAGCCACACCCACCAAACGGGAGCAAACGTACCTCAAAAGTCTGTTCAAGACCGTTTTGGGGAAACGTGTCGTTCAGTAGAAACCGTTCCGCAATGTAGAAAACGTTCAAGCGAACTGAAAGCACCTCAGTACACAGGGCCAACAGCGACCCAACCAAACATGAAGCACCTACTGAGATTCTATCAAACAACCAATTATAACATCTAGATCTTAAGTAATATTCACCTCAAGAGCACATCACAACCTATAATATAATTTGTCAATGCAAACATAATAATTTAACTAATGTATGTAAACCATGACAAAAAAATGCCCTGATTCATTCAAAACACTCCACATTATTAGTGATCTAACCAAATATTCCATATTCATACTGTACTTTAAATGCAAACTAAAAAATATTATTATATTTAAATGGAATCTCTTATAATGTAACCAGAACACAAATTACTGCAAAATGTATTTATTTAACTGTAATTCTTAAATCATAAGCCAAGCAAATTACGCAAGGGAGTAAACCAGTCTATGCCCCATATTGTGTTAGTTTGCTGTACTACCATGATGGAATGTGCAGTACCCTGAACAGACTAAAGGGGGTACCTACAACCAGATCATATCCACAGTCAAGACAACCTTGAATGGTTCCGAAATGGAGCAGGCTGCTACAATAGAACCAAAACAATTCCTTCATTTGTAGCCATGCTTTACTACCATTGTTTAGTCCCTTATGACATAGAATTGCTGTAGTTATATGAATACAATGAATAGCTATAGGTAAATTAGGACAGTCTATAATTAATGTTCTATTAGATATCTTATTAATAATGAAATGTTGATATAACCATTCAGATAATAAAAAAAATGTTTTAATAATTAAGTTCTTATTGTGATATCAAAACGTATTGGATTGTGATATTAAAAAGTTATTGTAATTTATCCACTCAGTCACCCAACGACAAATGCTCAAACCCCTTCCTCTAGTGAGAATGCAGCTGCTGCTGACCAAGCAAGCGCATGAGCAGGTGACTCCCTCCCTCCATTGAGTGAGGTCAGACATGGGCTGGACAAAAAAATGAACTGAACTACTACAGGCTGGTGGGTTGCTAGGTGAGGAATGAGCCAATCGCAGCTCAAAAGACAAGCCTCTGACCATTGAAACACTTCCTGTTCCTGTCTCCTGTAGTTCTGAGCACACAGTTCTAATGCATAAAGTCATATAGGCTATGCAGCAAAGAGCAAGAGCCATTTTGTGACTTAAAAGTGGACTCCACTTCATGCAATGCATTTCAAAAGAACATTTAATAAAGTGATCTGCTCTCAGTGTATCTTGCTTCTATGTGCTTGAAAATAAGTCCTCTTTCAGGACGAGAGCAGTCAAAAGTGTGGTAGAAGATTAGGATTTTTGGGGACAGACTTTAAAATGTGCATGGTTACTAAAATGGCTGCCAACAAGACAGCAAATGAACTAGCACAGCATTTCTTGGTTGACAGCATGTCTTCATGTCATGTTTTTCTGACCCATTATCAATTTAATTCAGGACTAGGGTCAGTTAGCTGAAAAGTTCGCATTTGACAAAATCTAAAAACAAATGTAATGCTTATCTCTTGAGCAACCCAAGTAGGCCTGTAGTTTAAGTAGTCATGTAAGCCTATAGTTGTAGTAGTTGTCAGTGACATCTGACAGTTACAAAATATAGGCTATGTAATAGATGACAAATATGAGGTTGGCCCGATTAGGCTTTAATTATTATATCCAGTCATCAATAATACATTGGCCAACATATGACATTAGTAACTTCCATGACTGAAGTCTAAAACTATCATGGGTAGACCAGAGGTGTGAGCAATGTGCACTTACCATCCCCCAGAGTATGACATTATTTCAATATAATGGATAACCAATTGTCAGATGTCATGTTAAACTCAAGACTACCATTAGATTATGCAAGCAATAACATTTATTTGACAGTACAGACATGACTTTATCTCCCACATGGCCTCAAAATGAACTGAGCACATGAGATCCTTTAATTAAGAAGATGTAGCACTTTTTATTGATGATGAAATGACATTGTTTTGTGTTCCTTCCGTTTTCCAACACAGAGAGATAACACATTTCAATCATTTGAATCCCAACTTTAGATTATACCTTTATCTGTAAAATAAAACACATTTTCAAGTCTGTGAGACCATGAAAACATCTGCAATACATGATATTTACCATCTTGGCACTTAGCTTCTGATTCCATGGAATAGTTATCAGCCTAAGAGGAACTCAATCACCAATACAGTTGATGTTGTACAGACCTCAAAACTGGTGAACAAGCACAGCTGAATTCACAGCTGAATTAAAGGATTATTGTGCATTGAGTACATCACACAATTTAATCAGAATAAGCGGTCCTATAAAATCAAAAATGTAGTTGAAGCATTGCCACATAGTTGATATTCTATTCATAATCAACCTAACTAATAAATTAGTGAACACCTAATGTGTGCAAAATTGAGCATGTCAATGGTTAGTCAGATGTGTACAAGTGAGGATCCCTTCAGAAAAATAGAGATGCATCGATTCCAATAACCCCACTGAAATTGTTCTCAATGGCATTGGAAATCTCATCAATAACATTGTTTCCACATATAAGGTAACGTGAATACATACGTTTTCAGTATAAACCTTATCTAAAAACTATTTCAAATGGCTATCCATAACAAACATGTTGCAAAAGTTAAATAAAACCTTAAAATGTACAAGAGGACTGACTATCAGTGAAACTAATATTAAGCCTCCCTCTCTTGCTGACAGAAACCTGTGACACATGAAGTAAGTTCTGAAGACAAGATATCCAGGAGGTAAATAGATCTACAACAGGCCAAATAGAAACTAAAATCTAGTGAACATTCAGTCAAGAGTGATTGTATGGCCTACTACACAATAAACAGTTCTCATTAAAAATAATTCACTTACATTTTGGTAGCCAAAATCATAAACTAACATTTGTTTTAGTAGTCAACTGTTTCAAATGAAGACAGTGTCTTTAGACTTAAACTACATAGTTGTCAATGCAGATGAAAACAATTATAATGTGGATTAGATATTCATTTGAATATTTCCCTTAAGCCGCATATGTTGTTAACATGTGTAAATTAGAGGTGTCAAATGTTTTAAAAGGATAAGCATTGTATGTTCAAATGGTGCAATGCAGTATCGACTAATAAAGACAAGGTCATATTACATTGTAACGATAGACCAACAGATATTGAAATCATGCATTTGTTCATGGGAAAAAGCCATATAAAACTTTAGTTTGTGTACATGTGGGTAAATATGTAATACAAATAGCCTGAAAGTTCAGTCTTTAGTGTAACAAATGCTAAGAAAATTAGGGTGTGGCTTTAAAAACCAAGGTCATTGATTTGAAACTGGTACAAATCGGGAAAACTATGTAGCAAATGTGTTCACAGGTGATCAACCATGCATGTCAAGGTAAACAATCAAGACAGATGTCAAAAAAGTGAAAATATAGAAGATCATACCTTGATGCGTTGCTTTGAGTCGAACCTTCATTTTCTTGCTTTTTATTCTTATTCTTCATCGTCGTTTTATCTTGAAAACGTTTGATTTGATGATCTTATGTCCTGGTATTTACTGTCAAAAGTTAGAAGAGGGATGAACTATCATAAAAGTCCCATAAGATTGTTTTTGCTCAGAAGACAGTAAAAGCGTTGACGTTATGAAATAACAGACAACAGCATTGTGTCGGACGTTTAAAACTGGCATTTATATTAATATATACATTGTCGATTTATAAATAACAACTGATGACATTATGTTATAAAAAAGCCAAGTGTTTAGTGTATTTCAATTAGATTCACCGATCGAGCCACATGCACGAATTCTAACTGCGTCATCAGACAAAGGACGACTAAAATGTGATAAAATAACAACCGATTGTAGGCAACTTAGGTATTATAAAACGCTAACATACCTATTCCATGTACAGGAAGGTATAATGAAGTTAGATTCACATCCGCAAAAGTACAGACTATTTAATACTTATGACATTAAAATGAAAATAAATGGCATATAAAAAGGTTGAATGAAAATAAACATTAGGCACGAAAAACTAAATGTTGACAATAGGATAATGAAGACAACAAAAGTGATAGTGAGACGACAGGCTATAGCTCTTCACAGAGCACACTAAAAATGGAGGGGCGCCATGGCTGCCAAACCTAGGCAGAGAAAACAACGACTCGCGCACACACGCTGCATAACGGATCTACACGACGAAAAACGCATTAAATACCGCAGAAAACCTAATCTACTGTTCACTATAGTAATAATTGTTGTTTTAAGTTTAAAAAAAATATTAATAGAGCGCCATATTCCAGCTTGATGTCATGAAAAAGAAAAGGACTGACGAAAGCCCAGCTAATTGTTCCCCTTCCCAAGGCTCATCCGCCATCTAGAGCTCCTTCCTAGCTCTGAAAGCTTTGCCTTTGATTGACGTTATTTCTATTTACCCCACACTCAGGTGATGTCCCAAAGTCCCACCCCCTTTATTTTGTATAAAAACGGCATAACTTTATTACATTTTTATTTTAAAAACTTTTTAAAAACTTTGCTTCACTTCAAGAGGATAGCCTTTGCCAAAGTCAGATCCATGTTGAAACAGAGGTTTGAAGTTGAACAACATTATTAAAAATATATTTTAAAAACACTGAGACCCATCACTTCCTGTTCAGACAGGAAATAAGACTTTAGGAGCCATTTTAGAGGCAAAGAACCTTGGACCATTTCAGTTCTTGCCAAAAGCTGTTTTAACTCTTTGTATTATGTAGCGCTATGTAGAACTGCAATGTATAACTCTTTTGGTTGAATTAATAGTATGGATTAGCCAGCCACTTCGCCATACCCTTTAACTTGACTTCAGTATTTTTGTGTGTGTTGCTAATCACGAAAGTCAGATTTTGTGGACAGAAGTCCTACCTAAAGTGTATAAGTTGTACCAAAAGTGTATGATGTAATAAACTTGAAATTATATTATCCCACCAGGGATGTAGTGGTACAAAAAAGGTAGGTTGCCAAGTATTGCTCGAGATGGAGACAAGTAACGAAAAACTTAAGCAAAAAACTTTAGCGTAATAGGTGTGTGAAGATTCCGAAATAAAAAGTTGCGTAAACTGTTACACTTGCATTTACCTTCTACCATATCCCTCGATCCTACGTAAAGCTAGTACTTACTAGCTAGCACTATTTATGTAATTTAACATTGTATTCCTTTACAAGGCAAATATATCATACCTTCCAGTAACAGGAGGCATTCAGCAGCCCCAGAAAATACCAGAAACTTCATTACATT